TTTTGACCAAAGAAGCGACATTTTCTGGAGAATGAGCGTGCTCATATAACCGTACATTACATCATTCTGTCAAACAAGGATCAGTGGATGACGAATTATTTTAAGAACACTTCTAGCAAAGCCAGTATTTTGGGTGGATTCGTGCAGCGAACGTCGGAACAGAACTATATGAGGACATATGAAAAATATGAGTTATTCAAACTCACGAGTGATGTTCCTCTAGTTTCCTCTTCCATGTTCATTTACGGACTGCTTTCATCACTGCAGTCAAATGTGTTCAGATAAAACTGTATAAAATTTTAAAAAAAATACACTCAAACTCTATTTTTTGAATACAGTGGTTTCGGACTTATACTGTCTTTTGGCGGAAGTTTCTTCGATTTTGTTGAAGATAAACTCATGCGGTACAATCTGTTTTTATTTAATATTGATGACCAACTTCTTGCCCGGGGGATTGTGTTCAATTATGCAACGTCTTTGGCGCCACCTTAGGATGCAGAAACGATGACTATGATTTTTCAAATCCCCCTTCTCACACTGGAGTGTCACAAGGTGCTTATGGCTGCGCCATAAATTGCTCGTATAATTTATAATAGCATATAGACTAGGTGACACCATTCTCCGCCAATTTGGAATGACCCATTCGTTGTTAGGTCACTGCACAGAAACCATTGGAGTATGCAGAAGGGATAAATATTAGATGGGGTGTCTTTTTCTTCCGAACTTTTTTTTTGTCATTTCCAGACGTTAAGCCCGTATACTTTCAACAACGGTGCTTCAGCCCATTATCGTGGAGGTGCCTGCAGATACTCGTCTCTTGCTGAGTGTAAATCCAGTATAGAGAGCCAAGAATTCCCGGCAATCCGGATCCTTTGGTTCGATGACCAGTCGGACGCCGGATGAAAACCTTCAGTGCATGTACCCTCACTGCTACTCCCGGCACTATACCCCCAATCCGCTGACTCCGACTGCGGCGTAATGCAGATGGTATTAATCCTGGGACTCGGGTATCGTTGGACGGAGCCCCCTTTGTCCTTGCTTCCGAGGGAAGCTTTATACCGGAGTTATGCAGGTGCCCTAACTGGGAGATCCCATCCACTCCAGTATTCCCCTCTCGCCCGCCAGGGTACAACGGCACAACACAGAGGAAAATTTAATCAACAGTAAGTGACTTGCAAATGCAGGGCTTGGGCTGGTTACTACCCGGGGAATTTATTTCAAAATGACTCCCACCATCTCGGGATCGGCGACACATTTGTTCTCGTTTTTCTCTTTTCAGATGGGTATTAAGGAGTGAAAGGGATCGCCCCGACTTAAACAGAATAGAATCACAACTCAAATCCGCAAAATCAAGAGACAAATGATTAATAAACCCTATCTTAAAAAAATATCTGATGTCATATTCATTTAAAGTTCAGCCCATAAAAACCCCAAAAGGAAACGCAGAGTACTCATAATTGACATGAAATTTTTATATGAAAATTGCAAAGTGATACCCCTAGTTACGTTTAATCTAAGCCCACGAAAGAAAGCCCGTAAATTACTTTAAAAATACTTTTTATCAGCATTTTACCGTTAAATAAAAGCATTTAACAGCTATGTAGGTTTTGCATCCATTCTCAAGTTCAAGACACACCAACAAAGCAACGCAAACGGCTTACACATTTTTAACCCTGTGACACTCTGTTTAGAATTCAGCCAGGATATGATCGAACTCGGGTGACCTCTGGTAACCAACCAAAACGTCAGTTGAAGATAGCTGCGGATTGGGAACTAACCTTGTGCAAATAAAGTAACTGAGAGCCGACAGCTTCGCTTTCTCCCGTGGCGCCGACAAACGCCTTCTACTCCATCTCTCAATTCACCACAGGTGCCGTGGCAATCATCACAGAACAGTGTGGAATTACACGCTTTGTTCTGTCCTCCGGACAAGGCTGATGAACTTTGGTGAGCGATACCTGAAATATCACCGCCCCTATTTTCATTATGAGTAAATAAAATAGTATCAACGCTGAGTCGAATGTCCTGTAGTCGGTGTGTGAAAATGTTGAGGTGACTAATTTCCAGTCGTGAGTTTCTCACATCAAAAGCGCTAGAGGTAAGTAATTCTTGCGCTTTGATGTATCTTTTCATTTGTTAGAAACAGTGGTGTCATCGATACAATCATTTGTGCGAATTAGATACACTAAATATTTTCCAAACACATTTTGGGAAAATGTGGAAATAATACTCGAAACAAAAACTGTATGGAGCACAGTTTGAAATTTAAACATATGAATAATAGAATATTAGTTCCCTCAGCTACATGCAGGGCCTCAATTCTTGGAGGCTTTGTGACCTGACAAGTATAAATTGCCATTCTCGTTACACGCGGAGTCGGCATTATCCTAACGAGAACATCACAGCATAGTTCAAACCAAAGTCAAGTACCGCATGCTTGGCATAAGGTGTGCCTTGAGCAAGCGCCTACAGATTCCGACAGTGAATGAGAAAAACCCAAGGAGATCCGAGTACTGAGCGGTGAAGGTTGAGCAGTTTTCTAACAGCTAATCGCTACGGTTGACAACCAAGGACACCAGCATAGACTAAAAGCTGCGGAATGGACCGAGGTTGTGGTGAACTTGCCATTAAAGGATGATAATGCAAGATTAGCGACTTCCTCTATCTAAGCTATCCCTCGTCGGTGGAAACGAGCCATGTTGGTCGGGAGTTCATCCATTTTGTTGGTAGCAATGCTACCGTACCACGTGAATTTCCCAGTCGTTTGTGAAACCAATAAAGTGCAGTTCTGACCAAAGGAACCTCCGTCGCTAAGAAGATTGCGCCCACTCTTAGTCGAGCTTGAGACTCGTAACGCCCTTCCCAATATGACGTGAGGAACTGAGCTGCGTTACGGATTCATTGTTGAGGTTATGGTTTTGCTGCTCTCAGAAAATATGCTCAGCACTGATGTCTCAAGTGGAGCTGTTCCTGACAGTTTAAAAGCTGAGAATTTAATCGACATATACAAGCCTCGCCGCGCAGCGGACTAAAAGAAGGAAAGTGTCATTCAAATGTTTTACGCTGTAGATTCCTAACCTTGTAGGCACGGATGTACCATGTCGTGTTGATGCATGGTCAGGGCTTTTCTTGCGTGTCTGTAGGCCTGTACACCGCATTAGACACACCTTTTGGTTGTTCGTGTACTATTTATATTTATAACTTTGATTGTGATGTATCCAAGAAGGCGTTGATAAAGCTCAAGCAGTGCTCTGAGGTAATTCCAGTGTGTTACGATTCATATATACTGCAACTTTCTCCAAGCTCTGCGGCAGGCATGCATGCCGATTTCCATCTTCAATTTACTGAAGAGGAATTTATTGTTTACTTTTCACATTCGTTCGCCAACAATCTTTGCAAACCGCCTCCTTAATTGCAAGAAGTAGCGCCTTAAACCCATGTCAAAGTTACCGACAAGCCCCTTCACGTAAAACTGTCATATCCAACCCGAAGGGACGATATTCGCCCGCGCCTTTTGTAAACGATGTAGATGTACGTCAAGCCGTCAACACACGTGAAGGTTCGGACTCGTCAACAACGCCCAGAGAGCATTTAGCTGTTGGAACACGTTACATAATGCTGCATACTTGTTAATTTCAGTTTTCGTAGTTTTGGAAGTGAAAATTTTCGTCAGCATGTTTACCCTATCCAGTTGCTTCTCCATAGGCGTTCCCGACTGCGGATTTGTTTCCGCGTTCGTCCAAAAGAGAAATGTTTTTTACCAGTGGCAGCTAAGATGATGTGAGAGAAGTATGGGTGTCGTTGAATAGCCAAAAACTCGACAGTGGTAGCCGTATTCAATCCTAGCTGTAAGAATTGAAAGGAGGAGTTCTTTTCGAATCGCTACAAAACCCACCTAATATAGAACTTCTCGCACACTCTTCTGCGCCTTGCACTATTCAGCGATAACTATCATAGAGCTTTAATTGGATATCAAATTTTTAAATAGAGTTAGGGAAAGACTTTAGGCCAATATAAGGAGATTTCAAATATTTTCAACTTCACTTTCAATGAAGGATGCATCGTCATGACACTGGCTGCGACAAAGCATTATCATGAACAAACCATTAACAATTAAAATAAAATTCATCAATTTTCAAGATTCAGAAGATTTCTTTGTCGTGAATAAGCTGTATTCTCAGACTGAAATGTAGTCTCTTGCTGTTAACCATCCTAATTTGAAAAGAGTGTAAGACAATTTGAAAGCCATACGTAGTTATAATTGGAGACTCTGGTTCGAGAAAGAATTTAGAAATTGTACTCCTTTGAAAATACAGAAATGTGCAGGTGCCTGGGTGATTCCAAACCCTGAAGAGCAAATTCTATATCCCCTCGAATTTTATGTAGTACAGCGTGGGGTAATGTATGCTGTTTTCACTCTGAGAATTCGATCCGAGCCTTGCATTATCAGTCAACAATTTCCAATATCCGTATTGCCATAATAAATGATTGGATGAGAAGAAACGACCAGGAGGGAATGCTAAATTAATGAGATCCGTGCAAAGAAAAGAAGTGACAGTTGCTATTATTTAGTCTGGTTTGTGTTCATGAATCTCTGCCTGCAGCTGCTGAGAGCTAGTATTGAATAATGGTTGTTATACTTCTGTTTTTAAAACAGGAAACGATGTTTGTTGGTACTTATCACTTTGAATCAGACTTGTGCATCATCTTAATGTAAAAAACTACGAAGTGCAATGGATCGCTGATTCCTGGCATTATGAAATGATAGTGTGAACTATTCTTGGAGTATAAAGACCACACAAGTAATGGAATCAATTCCAGATTTGCTTTGGGCGGCCATTAAAATCCATCCAACAGGAGAATCCATTTGGCAAGATGGATAAGAACGTGTAGATGATCCGGTTTCATGGGAGTAGAGTAACAACCTTTGATCACCCATGAGCGCTATTTTTCGAATCTTGTTTTACCCGAACAAAATTTTGCGGTTCATGTTGAGCAAGAAAATTTTTTTATTTTATTTTTTTTCTAAGTACAAGATTTCGGACAAACAGTGGGTACAGAGTTTCATGAATATACCCGGTGCAAGTTACTGTGTAAATGACAATATCAGCTGGTTCAATTTGTCTTGCCACTTAATTGCGAGAACGTGCTCACTAAGTTGTGTGGGGGAAAACTTCAGTTGAACAAGTCATCTCTTTTATGACTCGACAAATGCAGCATTTAATGTCTTAAATATACGCGAAAATTATTGACAGGATCAGTTGGGCTTTTTCAAAACCTTAAGATCCTTTACGAGAGAGAAGCATGCATGATCTTGAAATCAGTTCAATGAATGGGTCACTCAGGCAGAGGTACGTTTTCAATACTATCACACCTTTTTGTATTTACATCTGAATACTAATGCCACAGACAATGAATTCTGGTTATAGTTGTCAAACCGAAACTTCAAACGTGAACAAAAACCTGAATGTAGGCTTTCCCTGTTTACCATTTTCACAGTTTGCTAACTCGTGGTCTGCTCAACGGTTAGATAATGATCGTGCTCGCATCAACCACTGGCTCCGACAACAAATTCGGCGCACTGGCTGTGCGTCAAGGTAACTCTATGTAGACTTAAAAAGCTGATAGGGCCATATATTAATAAACTGTTAGGGTATATATCATGTTGTCAACAACAAACGCCTGCATGCATGCACGAAAATCAAAATAGGTGTTTTTCCTCCTCTTCCTTTCTTTCAGAAAAAGTAGCATGGCTGTTCAAACTCAGATCTCTCTTTCCGGGTCAAATGAGATGAGTCCAATCGCGCCATCTACCTTCGTTTCAGTCATGGTCGAACGATCATTTGAAGGGATCGGTGAGAGGCTACAGGCTGTGAGCTTTACCAGTCTCCGTCTACTGGATTGAGGATCATGAGGAGTCTCAAATCAGGGCTACTTGCTTAGGTCATTGTATCTGTTTAACTCCTATTATATCGGTGAACTTTCGTCACTTACTAAAGCCAATTAAATGATACTTAATTTACATGAATAAAGTGGTCTCGCGCCCGTCTCCCACCGAGCCCCATGACCTACAACTTTGGAATCACAGATGCTGGCGCAGTCAAGGTTTAATTTCAATAGGAGGACAATCGAGCATCAGATATTTCTTGAAGAATTCTTGTGGATGCGGAGAATCCTGGGTGACTCATCAGTTGATGTAAAAGCGACGGCAGGACGAGTACTTCTTGGGGCTGTCGGGCGAGGTGATGGTCTGGCAGTGCTTCATGCATTGGTGGGTGTTGAACTTGGTGGACCACGTGCTCCCGCAAGCGATGCAGTTAATGGAACAGCTGTCCCGCGACCTTTGGACCCGGTACATGGCGTCTTCGTCCGTGTCCCGCTTGGCCACTTGCTCATCAGGGTCTTCGTCCAGGAGGTACTCTAGCTGAGCGGGAAAGGCGAGAGATGTCGCGGCAAGAACCAGCAGGGCGAGGCATAGCGCGATGAATCGGTGCATTGTCTGCATTGAAAAGAACGAAACGATAAACAAAGGGTTTGTCATCGGGGAACGGCGACATAAAGGGATACAGCGTGATCTCTAAAGTTTAAGGTTCTGAAGTTGATCAGAAAAAGGTTCTGCTGCAGTGCCTAGTTTGTGATTGTTAAAAGCTCTCATAAAAGTTAAAAGATTGTACCGAATGTGTCTAAAAACCACGTGTTTACGATGGACTTGTCAAGTAATGTAAAGACCGTTCTCAATCTGTGAAAGAAAACCTTTGAAGTAATGTTACATTACTATATAGAATTTCTGGAATATTTAGAACTCACGCATGTGAGTCAATGTGAGCCTCCTGTCCAACACAGGAAGCTTTAATTCGGTTTGCGCTGCGAAGGACAGGATTAGGACAAGCAAAATCTAACATTCAGGGCTACTGTGCCTGTAGCCGGCACAAGTTAGAAGTCATTATCAAGCTTCTTTTTTCCCCATTTGTGTACAAACACTTCGGCGTGCGCACGCCGCTGGTAACTTCCGTTCCTTTGATAGTCCAATCCCGCCACTATTCCACATTACTTCATTGCGACGCTTCTCGTGTTTGCTTTTCACCCCAGTCTCAACTTTACCAAATATGTATCGATCGAGACTAATTGACAACGATTGTCTACATCGAGTTGCAGGTGTTGATTTAGCCGTACGATTAAATAAAAGCCCCCTGAGCCTACATCAACGGCCCTACGACGCGCGGAGTGTCATCTCCAATATTTCGAAGTGGTTGATGGCAGAGCGGACGAGGTACCTGTCCAGTGTCAGCTCTTGGAGATAATGGAATAATCTTCCCCCTTGACGTCTCCATAAATGCCCCCCCCCTCGAAGCTTTCAATCTGCCTGCCACAACTACATGGAGGTTTGTGCGGGGAGGCACAGGCCAGCAGGCGAGCCGCTGCATAATTCTCTCACGGGTGTCAGAGCAAAATGTGAAATTAAGCGAGGTAGGCCTACATGTATTGAAACGGTTTAACATATTTTAACACTCAGGGTTTTTTTAGATAGAGTGGCCATCCAAAACCAACATACAGTGGATTTATTGACTAAAACGAGGACTTTAGAAACAAGAGGCACTTTCTGTCCAGAGCGAATGTGGCCGAAATCTGAACGAGCGAGGTCAATCTCGTGTTCATGTTGGACGTCACCGTTCATATGTTCAAAGCAGATTTGAATGCAGGTTTGCCTATTCCTGTAGTGACTTATGACAAAGGTGCTTTGATGAGCTTATTCGAATTAATATTCTTGAAAATTAAACTGGTCGGTGTCTGAAATTTCCTTAATATTTTATCAGAATATTTTTGAGTACACACTTGTTTCAAAAACAGAAGACAAGTTTCTAGACGTGGAGTGGTACCTAAAGTTGGTTGAGAAAATTACGTGGGCGCCAAGGGCTTTGCATGAGTCGATGCGATGGTACAAATGTGCGTGTATGTAATCATGAGGGAACAGACTACACTACGATGCAAAGGAATTAAGTGGTCAGTGTAACGGTATCTAGACCTCTGTTTTGCATGGGATCGCGCTTTCCTGTCTTCCTCGAGTAAAATTCATATTTCGTCGCCGAATTAGTGAGAAATATGTCACGTTCTTGCAGCGAAAAAGATGATAAATACGATCCCTCTGACAGCAGCGATGATTAACTCATCGACGGTCGAGGACCTGCCCTGAAGGTTAGTGGCGCCGTGCCGTTGCGACAAATTGTAGCCGTGGACCAGCTGGCTGGAAGCGTCACAGCAACACGAGTGATCAGCGAGGCAGTCCAAGCGCTTTCCCCCATTACTTTCCTAATGAGCCAGTTCGGTATTCGAAAACAGTCTAGTTACGCGCGCTCGCGACAGTCTGTCCTATCAGCGCAGCCATACGCTGACTCACGCACGCGCTTTGTTCCTAAAAGACCCTGAATTGTTTGAAAGAGAACGCTTGTTACGTGCCTAGTACCCAACACGATGCCTGATAAGTGAAAATGGTGGGTTACCCCTGTCAGACACCAACCTCTCAATAAAACAGCATGGGCGTTTGACAAAAGTGCGCCTCTAAGAGTTTACAACGCGTTGACCAGTCACAGTGCGCGAAATCTGTCGACCATAATGCGCGTTTGGATTTCGCGCACTGTGATTGGTCAACGCATTTTAAACTATCGGAGGCACACTATAGTGAATCACCGGTATTATACCAGACACAAATTCATCCGATTCTACAGCGACGCAAACAACACCACAGTTGAGATGGTGGAACCCTCCAAGATACATGAAATGCGACAACTAAGGCTGTGCCCTGTCGGGCATTCTCTTGAAAAGGCGAAATTCAACCAAAAGGCAAACTCGGAAACAGTTAAATTCTCTCTGACCAAGCCCCCTAAACATGATGTTGACGTGAAGTACAGACTTATCGAACACAAGCCGATCAAGAGGGTCAAATGTTAGAAATGGATGTATTCTGACAGGAACCTCGAAATTTAAAATTCCCTTCAAGTGTGTGCGTTTAGGTAATTAAGTTAATTGTGACCGAACCATTTCTCTTGTACTTACTGCAAGCAGGTGAATTCGCTTCCAGTCTCAAACAAAACTGTGTCATGCCCTCTAATTAAAAAGAGCCCTGTGTTGGTCAGGAGTGTTCGTTTTTCTGATGGTGACGTGACCGTAACGCGTGCATTTCATAGTTGTTTGTGAAACAACGAAGTGCAGTTCCGACCAAACGAGCCTCCGTTGCTAGGAAAGTTGCGCTCTCTCTTGGTCCAGCTCGGAGCTCGTAGGGTAAGCGTGAACGTTGGAAAGGTGTGAACAGAACGATTAATAGATGATACACTGACGGGGGACTGTTGTCAGCAAACCAGGCGTTTTTCCTCTGTATCAGAGTGAAAGTGTTGACGGCGGGCGGGGCAAGTAGTATCACAGTTTCGAACACGCACCTCGAGAGAAGAGATGTACTCAACTTGAATTCTGTACCCGCGAAGGAAGCCAAAATCGCCTGTCAGTTAGCATGCAATATCTAGTAAAAGGCACGCTGAAATTGCCACGTGCAAAGTAAATACGAGTTTTGCCATGAAGTTAAAACGACCATGTTCAAAAAGGGGTGGGGGCCAACCCTAATGCTCGAATGAGTCCCAGAATTTACATGGCACAGCCGGAAAGACTGAGCTGCGGAAGCTTATATCTGCCGACCACCCACGTCTCGTTCGCTACAGTTTACTTCACCGCATAACGACTACATTGTATGTGCTCTACTTGTACATACCCGGTGTGTATCCGACGGGCTTGCAAACACTAGGTTAGTCTGTGCATTAAGGCGGACTCGATACGATCGTAAACAGATCTTTTACGCCAGTGTAAACCTGGGCGAACGATGCTAACCGAATCTTGCATAAAGGTTTGCTCTTGGATAGAGCGGCTCGCTTTCCGCGTCATCTGAAATCGTCTTCGCGCACATCTCCGGGGAAATGTTGCAGACCGCCATCCTCAATTCGAGCGTAGCGACCTGAAAAATTAAGTTAACCTCTCCCCTGACAGGTAGCCCGTGTCGCATGGTTAAGAATTCAAGTCACGGCTGACTTTCATCACATCAAGACATTCATTTTAAAGTCACGGGTACCATCACACATGTGTGCTGTTGAGAGAGGCTGGGAATTTTGACAGGTGAGAGAGGCAAAGTCGTACCCGGAATAGAATCAGAAAAAAGTATGACACAATGCACTTTCAGTTAACTTGCAAAACTTTTCCCAACTTCTGCGCTACAAACCAACGAAGGAAATGTTTACAATGAAACCAAAGGCTGTACTGAAATATTTCGCAAGAATCTGTGCATTTTGCAGGAAGTTAAATAGATCATATGAAAGGTTTCATTACCTGAATAGTCTCAGGCGCTTATAATCAAAGGAACTTCATTCTTTCTCTTCAGTCGACCTGTAAAGTGACTTTCAACCAGTGATTGTTTGTGTATCTGCTATATTTTTTTTGGGTCAAACCATAATGTTCTTGGTGCTAGCCAGACCATGTATTAGACTTCATTGTAACTGTTTGCGTGGCCTTTCTGATAGGTGAGGCTACATTTAGGGGGCTTTGTACAAGCTCCTGAAGGCAGGGAACTAAATTGACCAAAATGTGCCTTTCTTTCATTATTTTACAGAACAAAATTTGGCTCCTGGGGGGCGTGGCCTCCGTTGCCATCCTTGATCCACCATTGCTACGGTACAGAAAGACACACAAGACAGTTGGAACATAAGAACTTTATCAAGACAAACAAGACACTTCTCGACTTTGGCTTGTTTGCAAATATCATGCTAAAGTGGCAAAATCAATAAGGCTGTTGGGCAAGTGAAGTCAACACGGTGAAGGTTTTGATCTTTGTACTCAAAGTGACACTCGATCACGTCGTGTCCCCATACTTAAACCTCCTCGATCAAGTGTTAACCAGATGCATCAATGATTTCGTTTCTGTCCGAAAAACAATACAACAGCTGCACTTTCGAAGCCCTCAAAATTCTACCTGGCCACATTCTTAGATGTGAAACCGCTCTTCTTTCCATTTCCTCCGAGGGTTAAATTCCTCCCATACTTCTCAACATTCTCATTTGCCATTCCCATCAGCTTAACTTGACGGTATCGAGGGAAAACGCAAAAAAAAAAACGCCACAGAAACGTAGAGCGCCCCTATGAGGATAATGATGCAAAACGCCATCTTTTCGACGACAACTATAATTTCTGTCAGGGTTTCGTGCCCACCTTTCGCCCCACGTCTATTAGTTTTTTCGCATATCCATCACATCTCGTCAGCGTCAGTTTCCCTCACCATGCCATTCCGGAACATGTCTTGCTTGAAAACAACCGACTTATACTTTTAATATGGAAAGTCCCTTCTTTCTCTTCTCCGAAACAAAAACTCGAAATTATATGTACGTGCATTCTCACCACCGATAGCCTTGGTTGATATCGGAGTCGGTGACTTGGACACGATATTATTGTCTCAACTCACAAGTCAAA